CACTAAATTTAAACCAGACAAACGGATTATTAATATGCAGACCAATCAATATCAAAAGCGGGATGCTCCAAGGAGAAACATTGTCACAATTACTCTTCTGCCTTGCATTAGCGCAACTCATCTGTCTAATGAACACCAGTATCCACGGATACAAGTCACAGAATGGCAAACGGAATCACCTATTTTATATTGATGATATTAAAACGTTTGCCAAGGATGACAATCAACAGAAAAACCTACTCACCATTGTCAAAACCTTCAACGAAGGTATTAGGATGGAGTTAAGAATTGACAAATATGCCAAAGCCGCCTTCAAAACTGTAAACTAACGAAAAATACGGAATTAGACCTCGATATCAATAACAAAATTAAGAAACTTGACCAAGAGTGTACATACAAATACTTCGGAATTAATGAAGGAGAAGAAATACAACATTCAATTATGAAGAAAAAAATCCGAAAAGAATATTATAATAGAGTGCGTTTGATACTAGAAAACAAACTTAATGGGGCCAATAAAATGAAGGCTATGAACAACTTAGGTATACCGGTAGTAAAATACAGATTAATAATTATTAAATGGAAGTTGAATAACATTAAAAAATTTGAAGCCAAGACCAGAAAAATCCTAACCCAAATGAGGATATGCCACACGAAATCAGATGTTGATAGTTTGTATGAAGCAAGATCTTTAGGATATCGAGGCCTGATCCAATTTGAATTTACTCTAAAAACTACAATAATCTAATTAGAAGCCTAATTCACGAAAAAAATCTTCAACCTGCAAATAGTAAAATACCAAATGCACTCTATCAACAAAGAAGCCGCGCCCTTCATAAAAAAAGCATAATATAGCTGAAATCCTACCGATAAAAACCGAAGCGAATAATATTCTATGCCAAACAAGTAAAGGAGAAAGCAAAACAACTTGACCAAATGAAATTACAACAAAACTATAATTCCCAAACAATGAATAAATCTGAAATCATAAAGAAAAAGGATTTAAAAATGTTAAACAGTTTTAAAAAAACTCCTTCGAGTACAACATCTATATGGTCAGTACGCACTGAGAATAAAAGCTGCCTAACAGATATATGGCTGAAGAGTGCAGGACTAACATCATAGAGACAGACTTTTATAATGGCTGCAAAGCATCAAGGGTTGTTTGCCAGTACTTACCAGGTAAGCGTATTAAAAATTAGTTCGGTCCCAATATGTTGATGATGTGAACATGTTGAAATGATTAGCCGTTGCAAAAATGGATCCCCAATCCTGATATAAAAGTGTAAAGATCTTCATAAGATTAGACACTGTATTTCTTGGAAGACTTATCAGTATTACAGCGGACCAAAAGACGTATGAACATCACACCGGATCAGTCATTGTAGACCATGAAGTGATTGTTCTTGGCGAATTTACCATTTATACTGACATATGTAGAAATGTTAACTGGTTGGCCTGTCCATTTTATTCCGCGGCATATCAACTTCTATGGGTTATTTAAGGCCGTAATCTAAATATTTTGAACACAGTTTTATGCCCTCAATTAAATTTATTTTAAACATAATTGTATGATTTCAGCTACAAATAAAATTGTTAGCCATTTTGCTAAAATAGGTATTGTTGGTATCTTTTTATATAATAATGTATTGCTAGTATTTTTACTATAAAAATGTATTTTTATACATATATGGTGATTTTCTTAGGGGTTCATTATTTGCCCATAGCTGGGATCCTAGCAGCTGATGCTACTCCGGATCAGAGGTGACCTGGTAACAACAGTGATGTAGAGGTTGTTACACACTCCTCCAAACCTCCAATCTCCTTATCAGTGGCCTTACTGCTGGATTCAGTTTATGGTCATACCCAAGACTGATAAAAGCTAATACATTAGACAATGTTTAAATCCAAAAAAAAATGGCTTCCAATAGATATGGTCGTGATATCCGATAAAATATGACTGTGAAGGAAGTCGTCAAAGTAACTTTGGTAATATTAGCTGTTTCCTTATAAGGAAATATTCGGCATCCACTGATCGAGCGGCCACTACCACTGTTGGTTATAATTTATAAAAGTTTTGTCTTAAAACAATTTTTCTGGAAAATATATAGCTGAAGTTCACCGTGCCAGCTCTCTCAAGTATTGGTGGTTCTTTCTTTGCTAAACTTTTGTTGAGTTGTGTGGAATGTCACCATCTTGAATATTTAATTATTTTAGGTCTTATCTGACAGATTTTTGTTTCTTATGCTAAAGTGCTATTTGACAAGATTCAAATAAGGATACACCATGCTAAGATCTAGTTTTCAATTGCTCAAAGCCATTTTAAACAATTGGTCCGAGAAAGTGGTTGTATACATTATTTACATTATTCATATTGGGACTATTGTCCTCATCTTTGTTGTTGTTATCATAACCTTCGATTCTCATGCTCTCCAGTCTTCATCAGGCGTATTTAGATCTGGGTAATTCCCTGTACGTTACCCGGATCCACATACGCCTGATAAAGGCCGGATATTACAACGGCCGAAACGTTATGATAGCATCTATAAAGATTTCCGTGTGTAAATTTTAAAAAAAAGTCTTTACACAATGTATAAATAGAATAATAATTTTTTTTAAATTATCTGAACTCAAGGGGATAGGAATTTAATAAAATTCCCAAACAATGAATAAATCTGAAATCATTAAAAAATTATTTTAAAAGACAAGTGTTAAACAGTTTTAAAAAACGCCTCCGAGCACAATTATCTATATGATCAGTACGCTCTCAGAACAAAACTGCCTAACAGATATCTGGCTGAAGAGTGCAGGACTAACATCATAGAGACAGACTTTTATAATGGCTGCAAAATACCAAGGTTTGATTACCAGAAATTACCAGCATTTTGATCTTACAGGGAATTCTGAACTCAACTGTTTATTTAATCTACGGGTGTACACACATTCTCGTTCTATTGCATATTTCTAAGGATATGGTTTAGTGGAACCAGAAGAGTCTATCCACGTAGATTAAAAGAAGGGTTCAGTTCAGAATTCACAGTATGTTATCTAGATCGATATAAATCTGATGAAAGCCGAAAGGCAGAACGAACGAAATGTTGTGATAACATCAAAAAAGATGAGGACAATAGCCCGAACATAAATAGTGTAAATAATGATAACCTCTCATCCCAGAAATTCAGAGAGAAATGTTTGTATATAGTTGACAGCTTAGAGATTTCTGAAAGGAGTCGGTGTCCGCCATGACATCCATATGTTTCGATATGACTAATGTATTTACGAGCATGACTAGAAGAAGAAGAAGAAGAAGATGTTCAAGAAGAAGAAGAAGAAGAAGAAAAAGAAGAGGAAAACGTTGAAGAAGAAGAAGAAGAAGAAGAAGAAGAAGAAGAAGAAGAAGAAGAAATCATTTTTCGTGGTAAAATATCCAATTAATTTTGTTGTCTGAAAACATTCAAAGACTGAAACTTGTGGATGGGAGGCTGCTGGGTTTCTGAATATAGGAAAATAAATTCTAATAAATACACCACATGTTTTTCATAGCCTGTTTCCTTCAAACTGTCACTTGGTTCGTTACATTCCTGCTCTGATCAGCATTTCGAAAAAAAAAAAATATAATATCGAAAAATGCCTCGTTTACTATGATATTCATTATTTAAGTAAACGATAATTTCAGATGGTCCTAAACCAAAAAGTAATCTCCTAAAAGAAAATATGAATTGAAAAAAAAATGCAAGGAAGATTTTGATCAAGATGATATATTTGCGTCAATATCTCTGTTTTGTGATTAATTCTTCTACGTGACGTACACATTCAGTACGTGATCGATAATGACACTTCCCAACTTCTAATATGTGTAGTTATTACTAAGTTTTGTATTTTCATCATCATTTCCGGTCTTTCTTCTGTCATCCATTTACACGTTAAGTAGCTTACTCTAACGAGATTTCCCATTTTATTAATACTTTGCTTAGATTTTACTTTTAATATTAAAATGCTACTTCGGATTTCAGTGTCACATTTTCCGTCCCCACTGCTAAACCAGTTATTTAAATGTTGGTACTTGGTTTTGTTATCTGAAATCCTTCATAGCATTTTGAACTGTTATAATTGCTGTCAAAAATAATAGCATATTCCTGTCGAACCACATTTTTTGTCTCTGAAACCATTTCTTCTTCTTCTGTGTGCCGTTTCCATTTATAAAGTTGACGATCATGTCTCTCCACAACTTCCTGTTCTTTGCAGCTCTTCAGAAATAGTCTTTTTGGCCATGTCTTTCAAACCCTGCCCCATCATCAATACACTCAAGTTCACCAGGAATGTTATGCGTTGAATTCAAGAGGGACAGATGAAAACAACAAATGCGCTGTGAGTATCATATTTGCCAAGTGCTCTTTTCTCGTTACTTATTTTGACCACTACTTCATCTGTAAGAAAATGTCCCATCATTCAATGCCATATGTAATGAGAGATTTAATGTAGTGATTTAGCTCTCTTTTATTTGCAACAAAAATTTTCTGTCTACATCTCATCTTTGCTTTTCCCAATTTTGCAAGTGGGGCGATTTAGAACTGTTGCACGCAAGTGTGTGTATTTATGTCTATATTTGTGAGTGTTTGATCCAGGAAAGTCTGAGTAAACATTAAAACCTTTACTCTCCCATAACGATAATACTGAAAAGCGATTTTTTCATCCCACACAACGGATTAGTTGAGTGATTAATTCGTTTTTACGGCTTAACAACCCTGCGCATGATAGTTAAAGCCAAATAAATAAATACTTTTAGATTGTAAGAACAGTTTTTTATTTTTTATATAATAATGGTTCAATGATACAAGACTTACTATTTAACCCATAGCTGGGAGAAGAAAAATTAGATTCATACATTTAACAGGGGCATTTGACCATGGGTGAATATAACGACACCAAATGGAATTGGACATTGTCTCTATCATTAATAATTGCTCATTATCCATTACACCACGCAAACATCCAACCTTATAGCATCTGTTATTCCCAAGCGGCAACTCATCTAGGCACTGAACAGGCGCAACGTTGCTTAACTTCGGCGTACCTATAGGAACCGGTGCTTCAACGTGACGTGACCGTAAGCCGATATCCGACGCAAAGATACAGCTGCTATGATTCGAAACAGAAATAACCAGGAATATGTATATAATCCTGTCATTTAAGATTATGCTGAATGATAAATACTCCTGATTATTTATATCGTAAGGAGTCTCTGAGTAGTCACAAGTTAATTTGCTTTGTTTAACCAGGAAGAGACAAGCTGCAGTACAAATAAGAAAAATATTGGACGTAATTTATTTAAAAAGAAAAAAAAATGTCCTCGCAAATTTTATCTCAGATAAATCAGTTTCGAAACCGAAAATAAAACTCACTTTACTTTTAAAGTTAAAAGGAGACATAAATCTTCAAACACTGTCTGAACAGAAACAGTTGTTTAATTCGAGACATAAGTTTAACTTCTTATACATTACGGCTCAAATACTTTAATGTTTGCTCAGACACAGATTCTCTACGCCCACGAGAAAGTGGCTACAGGAAGTCGGATTAGTGAGAATAGTCGAGAAAAATATATTTTACAAAGGTAAACAAAAGAAATGAGGCAAGTTAACCCCAAAATCAATTTGCTTAATATATCAAGAAAACTATTTTTACATGCGGACTATTATTACTATTTTTTTTGTAATTTATATCCTTTTCATTTAATGTTTTGATTCAAGCATTTACCAAATCTTTCACATGAGATTTAGTCTCCTAGGTATGATGATAAGCTACACCAGGCAGCAAGGCCTCTGATCAGGAGATTTTTAAGAACGTGGAACCACCACTTAATTCCTTTTTTCCCAGGTCAACCGTAATTCGCGAAGATAAAATCAGTTATGTTCCCAGCTATGGGCAAATAGCAAACCCCCAAACAAAATCAAATTTCTACGAAAGTATAAAAATACATTCTCATAGTAAAATTTTCCAGCAATATATTTTAATAGTGAAAAAATAAAATTCTAGAAATATATTTTAATAGTAAAAGAAAAATACCAAAGCTCCCAAAGAAATTATATTTTGGCAATACATGACCCATAAAGTGTTTATATGCCGTTAAACAAACTAAACTAAAACTGTGACCTAATATTGGCTCATGGTATTTTGCAACTTAATGAAATCGTTTTTTTTTCTAAATATGTAATTTTTTATGTACCTCAAAGGTGTGTGCTAATATAACTTGCTTATAATCGTTTGCGTTCATTTTTCTCATTTCTGTATTCCTTTTTATTAGCAGACGACAGTTGAGGTAGAACGTTTACTGACTCTCAGTTTCAATTTTTGACGGAATTCTCCCAGTATCATTGTAATGACAGAAGTACGCAGATGTAGGCTTTAAGAAAGCTTCATTCAGCTGAGAATACAAGCTTCGAGTAAATTGTCATTTTATAGTCCCAGTAAACAGAAATAGCTCTCTCGAAGCGGAGAGTAATAAAAAAGAAGAAACCAGTTTTGATTATTCATAACAAGCATTTTTTTACTACTTCAGATATAAGGTCCATTAATAGTTCTACTGTTTCCCTTTTATCCATTCTTGCAATAGTTATTTTGTGCGTAACATCAAAATATAAGTAACTCACTATTTTACGTATCGTGGACTCTCCCGTTTAACTATAATTTTTATAGAACGGGAGAGTCCATCTTACATAAAATAGGGAATTACATTTCATTCACAATGTATATTGAATACCATTTTCTCGAGTGTAGACTATTCTAATTTCACTGTTCACGTCTAGATGTCTACTTATTTTTTTATTTTTATTTTTTTTTATATTTTATACTTCCGTAAATTAAATAAAGATACAGTTCAGAATTCCCAAGATTTAAATACACCTAAAAAAGGCCTGAGCGTACAACCGCCGAAACATACTGATAGCAACACAAAGATAGGGACAATAGTCTGCATGTAAATAGTATAAATAATGATAACTCCTCTTCCTAGAAATTACGACAGAATGTTAAGTAAGAAATTTTAACACTGTTTACATTATTCAACCTATTGTTCTCATCTGTATTGCTATATTTATCACAACATTTCGGCCGTTGTACACTTCGGCCTATTTCAGTTTGAATCTCGAACTGAACCCTTTATTTCGCTCGCTGGGGTAGACTGTTCTAGTTCCACGTGCCATGTTTAATGCCTGTCAGCTATCAGTTATCTACTCTTAATGCCCCTTTCCAAGTTCTTCACTGCTTTAACAAGTTACTGAAATTACAACTCTTTGGGAAGTGGAAAAATCAGGCATGGTTGACCACATAAGGAGAGAAAAGGTTGATCAACGCCCTCTGTGTGATCAGGTTGAAATCATAGAGAAAGAACATCACTGAAAAATTCGTAAACTAAAAAAAAAAACAATAGTTTACATAATATCTCATCACAGAAATATAGACAGACAAAGAAGTTTCAGGTATTCGAAAATGTATTTTTACGAGTAGTAACTATGCTGATTTAGGTCTGTAAGTTGTATTCACATAGACCCAGTAGGTGATGCAATACAGAACTGCATGCATTGTGTTACTGAAAATAAGTCAATATGAGCAACTGAAGTAAATGAAGAATTAACTTTTTGTTTCTTATTCGGAATTCAACATCTAAATTCGCTGATAGAGCGCGTAATAGACGATAAACTTCCAGCCCAACCAGATACAAAACATCAGCTTCTTTTGATGCAGAAATGTTTTTGGGGTAGTTAACGGTGATTTCCTCTTCTCCAGGACATTTTTCACGCCATTTTTTTTTTACACAATCCGCTTTTCCTCACATGTGATTGTTCTTTAAAAGATAACGCATCTTTTTTGCCGAAAAACACAGATAGAAATACTGTCCAATAATTATTTTCTTGTAAATCCAGAAGATCACATATACTGCAAATGTTCACATGACCGAATGTTTTCAAAGCGCATATGATGGTGATTTTCTAAGCGTAGCTTAGATGTGGCACAAGGCCGAAAGTGGTGGTGGGGGGGCACAGTGTAAGAATTAAACTCGCTACTGACTTGTAATTGATTTATCGAAACAAGTTTGCCAACCATTACACCAACTTAAGGTGCTCAAAAGTGCATATGATATATGAGAAGTATTTTTTGTGCCTTGTTGTATTGCCTAGATCAGGGGTCGGCAACATATTGCTATGTGACGAATTAAGGTTTTAAAATCATTCAGTGTACCCACAGCATACGTAATTTTATACAAGTCAAGATCAATATACCTGTTGTAGAATATATTTTATATACTAATATATATATATATATATATATATATATATATATATATATATATATATATATATATATATATATATATATATATACATATATATATATATATATATATATATATATATATATATATATATATATATATATATATATATACTTTTGTATATATTAAAATTGAAACAGTTAAGCATCCTCTTTGCTTTATAATAGTTATTGGTTCGGATTTCGTGATGTCATTTGCGGTTGCGTGCCATTGAAAATGGTCTAGATTATTTTTAATCAGCCTATCGATTTAGTGTCCATCAACGACTGCAAGCCGGTCGGAATTTTCTTGCAATTCGAGATTAAAATTTTCCTTTCTGATACTAGCAAACCATTTACAAACATTAAACTCAGCTATTGCACCATCCCTATAAACGAAACCTATCTGTTTGTTGTTTGTATACCGTTTGATGGGGAGGAGGTGTGGGTTTGTAAACAGTGACTATTATAGCTAATATAGCGAGACTCTTCGCAAAAAAGCGAATTGAGTCACCGTCGGTCACTGGGCGTGTTTCTAAAAATAAATACGCTAAAACCCACCTTCATCCCTGCCGTGCGCCAACGGTAGAATCTCCGACTGACACCAATTCAATCGGTTTCGATCCTAGCTAGAGGCAACCGGATGTCTAGCCACACTGATGAGCTGTTAAACAGCGAAACAGTCTGTCTGTGGATGACGTTATATATATATATATATATATATATATATATATATATATATATATATATATATATATATATATAATATATATATATATATATATATATATATATATACAAGTTTCTTATCTAAAGAAGGCGTCCCGGACTGCCATCAAAACTAAATTCAAACTCATTCCGTGACAGTGTTGAAGAAGTCTGGGATAATGTTGTGCCGGTTTGAAATGGACTAATCCCACATTATATAATTTATGATTTTTGATATATTCATATCTATCTATCTATCTATATATATATATATATATATATATGTGTGTGTATATATATATATATATATATATATATATATATATATATATATATATATATATATATATATATACAGATGGTAGTAGTTTTATAACTTTAAACGTTATTTTTAGTGGATACTCTTATTTGAATAGGAGCACCATTTATTTATTAAATAGTATATTTATTTTGGTCTACCGCCCTAAATGTTCGGGAAGTCATATTAAAAAAACATTCTCGCTCTCGGGCAGGATTCGAAGCTGCGTTCTGTGGAGATAGAGCTATACTATCTGACCAAAGGACCTACAAAAACAAATTAATGGAGCAAAGCCGAAATTGTAACTTTAAACGTAACTTCGCTCAAATATTTCTACATCTGCATATCTTCGTATCCAAACGTAAAATTACCGAATTTTAGAGAAAGTGATTGGAATTTCTATATTATGGGCGTAAATAATACATCCATTATATATATATATATATATATATATATATATATATATATATATATATATATATATATATAAAGGTCCTCGTGTATAGCCAGCTTTACAGTGTCTAAATGACTGTTGGACGGCCCTTGCTCAGTAATAAATGCAAGTTAAAGTGAATTTTCTAAGCTATCATTGTGACTCATACTAAATTCGAGCGATGTGTCCTGGATAGCAATAACTGGGTACATTTGTGCCGGTGTAGTATTAGAAATTTTGAAGTCTGACGACTTGGCCGGCTAAGAGACGAAAGACAATGGCGGAAAGCGTCAGCAAAGATTCCTGTGGATATATCCCGAGATCCTCGTTGTTGCACAATATGTGGATTTATATGTAGATCACT